TGATGATGATATAAATAATAAAATTCAATTATAACTTAATATAAAATTTCTGGGAAATTTATTAGATTTTCGATTGCCTTTAAAGGCTAAATAAATATTTAATTAGGTTTGCCTATATCAAACTTATGGATACCTAGTATATTATTTAATATTGGCCTTTGTAAAGGCATTTTTTGTAATTTTGAATAAAATATTCTATATTAATTATTATATTGAATAATGTCATAGTAAATAAATACGTCATATGACTTTATTAAAATTATTCATTTTTTAGTATATTCAAATAGATTCTTAACCGTCCTCAATAAAGGATGTGAATTGTGTTTATTAATAATTCATTTATTTTGATCAATGTATAAATTGATTTAAGTAAAAGAGAACTATTTTTCTTCTTTTTAATTTTGTTTCAAACTTTAGAGTCGATAATGGAGCTTAATTTATGGGATTAATGAACAATTTTTCAATTAAGCTACAATAATTATTATCTAGTTCTACAATTCTTCTTCATTTTATTTTTCAATATTTATGATCAAATATATATTTTCTTAAATATATTATTATTTTAAAAATAAATCATAGATTTATATTTTTTAGAAACTGTAGATTAAAAAGTAATCGAATGAAGAATTCTAAAAAATAAATGAAAAATTATTGATCATAATATAATTATCAAAATTTAGGGCATTATTTAATAATTTTAAGTAATTATTAATTTCTTGCTAAGGGGGGATGAATATAATTAAAACCAAGAAAAAAATAGATTTGAATAGAAATAAAGGTTATAATTTGTTCCAGGCTTAAATTAGATATGAAGGTTAATAAGAAATTTTAATTTAATTGAATAATAGCTTATCGGATGTCGAGATGATAAAAATTTGTAAATCAACAGAATTATATTATAATTTTTATAAATGTAATTATTTTGTATATTAAAGAATTAAATAAAATAACCACTATCACAACTAATTTTGTAAAACTGATTTATAATAATAATTATTAAAAAATTTTTCAAATATAAACATGAATTAGGAGTAAGATTAAGAATTAAAAAGTATGATTATAAACTGATAAGATGTATTCTAAGAAAATTGTACCAATATTTAAGAAGAGCGCGTAAAAAAATTATAAGATTTCTTTAACAAAGGTAATAGAGTGTATTTAGAATAGGAATTTAATTACAAAATTTTAATTAGAATGAAGAAGCTATTGAATTTTTTAATTAAACTATTTAATTAGATAATAACCATAAATAGGCCTTTTTTAACAAAGGTATCAAAGTTTTAAATATAAATAGGAAAATCCTTATTTATTCTTCAAAAATATTTGGAGGCAATAGAATGTTTTGATTAAGTCCTTAAAATTGATAATAAAAGCAAAAATGCCCTTATCAAAAAAGGTAAATGTAATTGTAATAATTTTTAAGGATAGGCATTATTATATTTAAATAGGTTTACAGAAGCTTTGAATTGCTTTGATTAAGTTTTAGAATTGTTTCCTCTAAATAAATAAGCTCTTTAGAAAAAAGGTAAGCATCAAATAAAATAGTATCAGCAAACATATTAGTGGGTTTAAAAAAATATTCAGAAAGTATAAATTTCTTCAATAAATTAATCAGCTTAGATTTGAAAAACCCAAAAATATTTTATCAAAAAGGTTCTTGATATATTATTTTTAGGGAATGCCTTACTATAATTGGAATAGTATTCAAATGCAATTTAATGTTACGATAATGCTATAAATATTTCTCCTAATTTTATTGAAGCGCATTATTATAAAAGTAATTGATTTATTCCTATTTCAAAGGTTATGCATTAATTTAATTATAATAATTTTTTGAAGCTGTTAGAGCTTGTGATTAGGTTTTAGCTTTAGAATCCAAACATAGCTTAGCCTTATTGAATAAAGGTAATATTTATAAATTAATTTATAAATATCAGCTTTTTCATTACATAAATTGAAATAATATGATTAAGCTCAAAAATGTTATGAAGAATCCATTTAACTAAACTATAATAGTTATGAAGCTCATAATAATTATGGTATTACTAAGATGTGCATACTTAGGATATCTATTAAAAGAGAAAGGAAGTTATAGAAAGGCAATTAAAAGTTTTGATGCAGCAATTTAAATAAATTCTAATTTAAAGTTATCATATTTGAATAGAGGTATATATCCTATTTATTAAAGGAAAATGTTTAGAAATATTGGATAAAAATGTTTAAGCAATCAATGATTTTAACTTAACCATTAAGCTTGATCCTAATTGTTCAAAAGCATATTATGAGAAAGGTAATTAAATCTACTATTTTAAGCAAAAATATTACATAAAATTTAATCAAACAGAAAAGCAATAGTATATTGCCGATTAGCATAATAATATAATTCTTTCGATGAAATTGAAATAGCATTAAAATCTAAGATCATAAAAAATTAAATATGATAAAAGTTCAATATTCAATTATTAAAAATTATTTAGCTGACTCAAAAAAATGTTTTTAAAATCTGTTTTTTTAAATAAGATATTGTTTTTCTATGTTTAATATAAAGTAGTAATCCATAAATTTCCAAAAATTAGAATCTTAGCTAAATGAAAATTATTTTATTCTCTCAAGGAGTTTTGGTTAATATTACCCTTAATCATATTTGCTATTTTTAGCCAAATTATTGACCAATTAAATTAAACTAATATTATTAATTTACTTCTTTTGATGTATTTTTTAATGCCAATTCCTTCTTTTGATTCCGTCTAATTTTTATAATTAAGTACTCTAAATTTATAGTCTATTATTTTTGTAAAACACCAATAATTTGAAGAATATTTACATGAAATTGATTATAAAAATAACTTGATAAATATAAAGATATTATAACAATCATATTTGTATTTCTAAATGTATTAAGAAAATATTCATTGAGAAATTACCTTCTAATATTTAATTTATAAAAAGCCATAAAGAAAATAGAATTTAGATCAAACAAAGCCACTATTTATAAAAAAATATTATTTAAAGTAATAAATAAAAAAAATAATATTATGAGTGTCTTATTTAAAATTATACCCAAAATCAGTTTCTTAAGCCTGTGTCATAAGATTATTTCAATAAAAATAATTGCGCCTCCTAAATCGTTCGTCCAAGATTAATCTAGTTTTGATGTCCTATTTGAATAAGACTTAGTAAACTTTGATCGAATCAACCATGACCTAAAAATTTATCAAAACCACCAAAAATTAAATAAAATAAAAAATTTATTCGACAACGACCTATAATATAATAGTGGTCCTTCTAAAACTTTATCAACATTATCTGTGCTTTAAAATATGCTATAATTTGTATAGCTTGATAAATGGAATTGATAGATAAGCAAAGTCTTTTAAACTTTAGGATCTTTAATAAAATATTTAGATCTTCAAAAATGAAATTAGAATTCGTGCAAATTCTCTTGCTAAAAATCTATTAGACTTTTAATTAAAAATAAATTTTGAAGTTCCTTAAATATATAATCGAAATACTAATTGGGCTTTAGAGTTGAGTAGATGAAGTTTATTGTTATGAAGTACCTTCTTCAAGAATATTATAATTCAAATTCTACTTACTAAAACTAGAAAAACTTCATTAAAACTTTCATAAAATAATAGAATGTTATGTTAAAGTATGTTAATTGAACATATTGTATTCAATTTTCACGAATAGAAATGATTATTAACAATTTGTTATTCTTGAGACCAATATTATTATACCTTAAATACTCCTAATTTTCATAATTAGATAAATAATCCACTCAGAAAAAATTATAAGATTTATTTTTATTCATTAAATATTTTTTCATTAATATGATTATTTTAATAATGAATTTAAATAGTAAATAAGCTAGGTTCGAATTGAAAAGTTATAATTTAATTATTAAGATAAATTAAATCTAGATATGCTTTCTGTATTTTTGTTGTTTATTTAGAATTAAAAATGTTGAATGGGGAACATTTTTTTAAAATACCTGAAAGGAATTAAGATTAAATTTATTTTTATTTGAATAGAAATTTATAAAATAGATTCAGGTAAAAACATTATTAGATAAAGAAATATAATTAAAACTATTTACTTAAATAAATTTGGCACTTCCTTAAAAAGGTTAACTTTTATATTCAAAAAATTAAAGAAAAGATTTTTGTGTTTATTTCAAGAAAAGAAAGTGTGATATTGCTTAAGAGTTTTAAACTCTCATCAATAAATCTACAAATTTACAAATAATCCTCCTAGAATTATTATTAACTCTTAAAATGCAAATTAAAAAGATTATTATTTAATTTCATAATAGGATTTACATCTTAATAATCTATTTAGTAAGTATATTTAACGTGGAATTTGTGATGCTCAAGAATGCAATTTGAAATTATAAAAAAGGAAATTAAGGATTAATAAGAATAAATTTCAGTTCAATATCCTTAAAAAGTTTATTGAATTTAAAAAAATTTGATATTAATTCTATCATTTTAATTATTTAAAATTCCTATTTATAATTTTGTAATATTTTATCAATTTACAAATAAGTCAATAAAGGTTAATATTTTTAAATGTATCAAATTTGATCAACAAGAAATTTAGGTTACATTCGAATTTTTCAAATAGTATTTTTAAAACATAATTTAATATAATGAATCATACTATTTAATCAAAGATTTGAAGCTAATACAATAATTACTCCTACTAAAGCATTATATCCATATTCTAATTAATGAGAATTCTCAGAAATTATTCAAATATTTAAATTAAATAATGATTATAACCAAAACTTAATGAAAATCAATAAAATTTATATGGATTATGAAGATTATATAATAAATATAATCACAGATTTACTGATGATTGATTTTTTCTAGTAATAATGTGAGCAAATTTATTTTAGAAGCCAGTAAGCTACATCAAATATCTTCAATAAATTCAAACAAAATATGAGAGAAATATTAAAAATGTAAAATAAAAAAAAGTGTTACTCTAGAATATATTAACCACTTTAAGATAAAATATAATCAATTAAAGATTTAATATAAGGATCTGATATCAATAAGCTATTCCTGATTGTTTTTTTATATGCCTGAAATTATGATCATAGGTTAGATTGTAAAATAAATTGAGATGAAAACTAAAACAATAATTTAAATAAAGTAGGTCCTTTAAAAGGAAAATTAATAATGTAAAAAATCAAACCATCATAAATTTCAGAATACAAAGGAATATATAAAATTTTGAAATAAGTGAATCAATTGAAACTATTAGAAAGAGAGTTTTATAAAATTAGATCATAGATAAGAAGCATCGATAAGAGAACAAAGCAAAATTTTTACTCTTAATAAATATATTCTTCTATATTTTACTTTCATCAATAGCATGCTCCTTAATTTCTTTATAACAAATTTGATATGTTATCAAATTAAAAGCAATTTCTAAACTAAACTTAAATTAAATCAGTTAAGTGATTCCTTTATGCTTAATAAAATGATTTTATCTATTTTAAGTTATAAATTTTTTTTCATTCTTTGGAACTTGTAAAGTAAGCTCAATCCCTGGAATAGTATTTGAACAATTTTCAGCAGAGGCAGAACTAAAATCTGGAAAATTACTCAAATCAATAGCAAGAAGCATTGAAAATGCATTAATAATGTTTATTTCCTCTGCAGTATCTATTATCTGATTAGGATTGAAATTTAATGAACATTTTAACGAAATTAGTCCTGTAATTTATGCTTCGGCAATTGATTCATATAGATTAAACAATAAATGTTTATTAATTGAATCAGGTTTATCATAAGGAGAAAGTAAATAAGATATATGTGATAAAAGTATGAATTAAACAATATTTGAAGCCATTAGATGTTTACTAAACTTAAATATTGTTAAAGAAAAGAGACTGTAAAATTGAAGATTTCAAGGATTTAGAAAAATTAAATAAAATTTAATTGTAGAAAATCTATTTAAACCTTTCTCTGCAAAATTTAATTATATTAAATAATAATCATCAGTGAATTGAGACTAAAAATAATGCTATTGTATCTTACTAAATGAATTTATTTATTGATTTTTCTTTGGGTATTTTGTGATAAATATCACTTCCTTCAGAGTAATAAAAAATTATTTTCAGTGTTATTTTAATAACTTAATCTATAATAAACTCATTCAAAAAGAACAATTAAAATCATATTTTTTTTTTTTTAAAGAGGAATAACTATTGAAAAAATTAAAGTGATTTTTATAAATAGCATTACAATATGCAGATGATACACATAAGTATATGATCCTTATTTAGTGTAACTGTAAATATTACAGAGATATATGAAACTTAGGCCTTATAGAGCTCTATATTCTATTTTAATTTTACTATATCATAGTTACTCAGCGTAATTATCTTATTCACTTCCTTCATTTTCTTTTTAGCTACTTATTCTTATTGATCCATTCATAAACTTGAAAATTAAGAATAAATACCCTCACTTTGAAAATAATTCCATAAAGTAATTTGTTAATTCAATCTAACCTTACCAACGATTTCTTTGTATAAATAACTTATTTTCAGATAATAAAAATCATAATAAATTACTTCTTAAAATTTATATGAATACCCAATATCTTTCCGTAAGTAAAAAAGATATTACTATCACACATACTAAAGAATGCTATATATTATATTAGACTTAATATTATAAAATAAGATAATTCTAAACAATACTTTTAAATCTCTTGAAATTTAAATCGAAATATCCACAGTAATTATATGTATTTCAAAATAAATTGCCTTTTTTTAAAAAAAAGAATTCTAATAATTTTTTAATTAAAGATAAAATTA